CACAGAGCTGTGGACAGGGCACTGGACCTGGCATCAGGAAAACCTGAGTTCAAATTCCTCTTCAGGAACTTCACTAGCTGGGCAACTTAACCATGTAACTTCCCTGTGCCTTAGTTTCCTCATCTGTAAAATGAGGAAGTTGGACTTAGTGGCATCTAAGTTTCCTTGCCATTCTAAATTTGTTGGGCCTTTCCCTCCCACCCATCTGCTTACCTACTCCCCATCACTTGATAAAGGGCAGCGGATAGAATGCCCAGCCTGGACTCAGGAAGACTCATCTTCTTCACTTCAAATCTGGCCTTAGACTCCCTAGCTGTGTGACCCTGGGCAAACCTCAGACACTTGCTAGCTGTGTGACCCTAGGCAAGTCACTGGACCCTGTTTGCCTCAGTTTCCTCATCTGTAAAATGAGCTAGAAAAGGAAATGGCAAACCACTCTTTGCCAAGAAAACTCCAAATGGGGTCATGAAGAGTCAGACAGGCGGGAACAACAAATCACTTGATAAAAGGGATGAAGAGAAGTGGAAAGAAGTAGAAAAACAATTTATTGCAGTAAGCAAGAGAACAATGTGTATACAATAACAGCTCCGCTAAAACCAAAATCTTTGGAAAACTAAAAATTGTGATCAGTGAAATGACTAAACCAAGATTCCAGAAGACTGATGATGAAACATACCACCTATCTCCCAACAGAGAGGCAATAGACTCAGGGTGCAGAATAAGATAAGAATATATTTTTGGACATGACCAGTATGGGAATTTGTTTTGCTTGGCTGTGCGTATTTGTTACAAAGGTGTGGGTTTTCCCTTTTTTTCTCGTAGAAGTGGGGAAGATGAGCTAGGAGGGAGAGAAAATAAGCTGGTTAATTGGGTAAAATTAAACTTAATGCATATACATTTACTTATTTATTTATTTATTTATTTGCTTTGGAGAAGCATCGCATTAGTTACCTTCTCTTCCTCTCCTTTACTCCCCTATCACACTCGTCTCTCCCCTGGGCAGTTAAATTTGCTCAGCCTATGACACAACCAGCTCTCATTACATACCTTTTATTGCTTCTAACATTCATATCTTCGTTTTAGCCAAGGGGATAATACTGTTCAGGCGTTTGTCCCCCTTGCCTAGCATTGCCCTGATGAGGCGATTCTCATAATGTTGTTGTTGTTCGTCCTCCGTTCTCAAAAAGAGGAACGGTGACAGGATATTCTCAAAAAGAAGGTTGAACTGTGTCAACAAACGGATAACACTGAATATTTGAACGGTCTGATTGGGTGTTGCACCATCTTCCAAGCTCAGCTCTGAAGGTTCCTGGTAAACTGTTCAACCAGAGAGTGTTAGCTGTTGGGATACCTGTCCTTGAATCCAGACCATGTCTCCAATTACAGACACAGTGGCATTAGTATTGGCTATGTGAGGATTCTTCAGCTAATGACAGCCAGAGGGAAAGAGAGATTAGGAGCTTGATTGGCAGAACACCTTTCTTCCATCCTCCTGTTCTACCTGAGAAGCATTCTTGCAAGTCTTGGGCAATACGCTCTTTGTTTCACTGTGAACCTATTGGATTTTTTATTTATTGTCTCAATTGTCATTTCACTTAGTGTAGGGAACTCCTAGGTAAGGGAACCCCTTCTACCAATTCAGATTAGTAACTATTCTGCAATTTAATGGTCTTAGAGGGTTGCCTAGGATACTGAGAAGTTAAATGATTTACCGAGGATTACATATCCTGTGAGTGTTGGAAGTAGTTTTTGAATGGAAGTGCTCTTGACTCTCAGACTAGCCTCACTCTCTGCTATTCACTATAACCCCTCACCCACACCTTTGTTTATATCCATTTACCTCAGTGAAGGTAGCAGCTAGGTGGTGCAATGGATGGGAGTCAGGAAGATTCATTTTTGTAAATCAAATCTGGCCTCAGATGTGTGACCCTGGACATGTCACTTAACCCTATTTGCCTCAGTTTCCTCATTTGTAAAATGAGAAGGATATGGCAAACCACTCCAGTATCTTTGCCAAGAAAACCCTAAATGAGGTTGTGAAGAGTCAGACAGGACTGAAATGACACAATAACAACAACTTCAATGAAACTTTCCCCCCAGAATGACGTAGAAATGTTTTGGATTCCTACTTCAGTGGGAACAATTGTTTTAAATTATTTTCATTTATTTTTAAATATTTCCCAATTACATGTAAAAATTCTAACAATCATTTTTTCAAAACTTAAGTTCCAAGTTCTCTCCTTGCCTCCTGTCCCTTCCACCTTCTTGAGAAGGTAAGCAATTTAATATCAGTTGTACATGTGAAGTCATGAAAAATATATTTCCATATTAGCCATGTTACAAGAGAAAACATAAACAAAATGAACAAGAGAAATAAAGAAATTTTAAAAGTATGCTTCAATCTGCATTCAGAGTTCATCAGTTTTCTCTCTGGAGGTGGATAGCATTTTTCTTCATGAATCTTTTGGAATTGTGTTGCTGAGAATAGCAAAGTCATTCACAGTTGATCATCATTACAATATTGCTGTTACCATATACAATGTTCCCCTGGTTCTGTTCACTTCACTTGCATGAGTTCATATAAGTCTTCCCAGGTTTTTCTGAAAACATCCAGCTTGTCATTTCTTATAGTGCCATAATGTTCCATCACAATCATGCACCACAACTTGTTCAGCCATTCCCCAATTGATGGGCATCCCCTCGATTTCCAATTCTTTGAGTAACATCTATTTAACAGCGAAAGTACTTTGTAGCAAGGGGGAGAATATTTTTTATAGAATGCTTCCCCCATATAGAAAGCTCATAATAACATCATGTTGGTCTTGAAACTTTTCTTTTAAAATGTCATAACCTCATAAAAAAGAGAATTAAAATCCTATTATTTTAATTTACATCTAGCCACAAGATAAGTAAAGTTATCATTGAAATTCTAATTAAATGGGATGATTGACTAAGGTAGGACATCAAAGAAGAAAAGTGAATATGATAAGTCGAAGTCTTATTAATTAGTCTGCGTGGAAGAAATTCCAGGGACGTCAAGCTGAGGCTGCTGGAAGGAAAAAAAAAGCAGACAAGAAAACCCTGGTTTCTTTGAAGTTAGGAACTGAGATAGTGATGGAGGTAATTGTGTCTGACTGGATCCTGTAATGAAGAGCCGTAAATCAAACCTAGGAATAGGAGGAAAGATTCAAGTAACGAATGTGGCTGCCCACCCCCATCCCCCCGCTGCGAAGAAACAGAATGCAGAGCTTACTAATTGACCCACTCTATTTCCCAGTAGCTCTCTGTTATTATTTATTAATTTTTAATTTCTGAATTATTCACGTCCTGGGAAATTATTCTTGACAGGCTGTTAGGCACACCACAGTTAATGGAGGATGAAAGGATGGGTACCAGAATTAGCAGGGATGTAGTCACAGGCTACTGGACTTAATGATTTTGGATAGGAAAATTGATTTCACACAGTGTGTCACTTTATACTACTTTAGGCATACACCAGCTATTTGATTAATTGAGGAATAATCAACTCAAAGTATATTTGAAGTGGAAATGACTCACAGTGTTCAGCTGTTTATTTTTCCCCCTTTCTGAGAGAACTAGATTTTCTTGAAGTTGCTGATTAAAAGCAGGTAGAGTCACATGTGCACACCTTGAATGTATGTATACCTGTTGGAGTCTAATTAATCTCTGAAAGGAAAACCCTGAAGTATAAGAAGAGCCCTGAAATATTTTTGTCTCCCTTTTAACTTGATCTCCTCTTTCTTTTTTCCAGTGCTTCTAAAATATTTTCTGACCTGTCCAGTGGCTCAAACATTAGCTATGATATGTGTTACTGTCAAGGATAATACGTAAGAGAGGGCTATCTTTGGTTGCTTGATGACCTTCGTTTGAAACCGATAAAAACCAGAGTTCTTTTCAACAAACAAAATCTGAGGCCAGATTTGAACTCAGATCTTCCCAAGTAAACATGAAGTGCTTAATGAGTACAGTCCGAGAGTTTCAAAGTTTGGATAAGGTTTCTTCTGCCTTCACAGACTTTACAATCTAGAAGAGGAGTGTAATACATGTAGGACAGCTGGGTGACATAGTGGATAGAGCTCCAGGCCTGGAGTCAAGAAGACTTACCTTAGTAAGTTCAAATCTGGCGTCAGACACTTACTATCTGTATGACCTTGGGCGTTAACCCTGTTTGCCTCACTTTCCTTATCTATAAAATGATCTGGAAAAGGAAATCGCAAACCACTCCAGCACCTGCCAAGAGTACCTCGAATAGGGTCACAAAGAGCTGGATGTGACTGAACAACATTATATATGTAACTGGAACTGACTGATGAGAACTCAACCTTGGGAATATGCACAGGGGTACTCTACCTAAGATCAACCCACGTGAATGCTTATGGAATACCTTCTGGAAATGCGTAATGGTATGGAATGGAGGGCCCTGACCCTCATTCAGAGAATAACCAGGTTTTCTGCCACTGTTTCCTTTCTACACACTTTAGACTTTTCTTACAAGAAAGAAAAGCCTTCTAGCTGACTGTCAGGCCAGAAAGGAGAGCGCCCATAAAAAGTACCAGCTGGCCAAACTGAGTTTTCACTCTCTTTCCTGGCGGTAGTCAAGGCAAAGACTGTTATAACCAGAGGTGTGCTGGCAAATGTTAACAACTGGCTTTCTTGGGAAAAAAAGTGAGCAAGACACTCTTTTAAATTTAATCCACATTATTAACATTTTCTTAATCACTTTCTCAAGTCTAGACAATAAACAAAACTATAGATGAAGCTCTGATTTATGACATTTGCTGATCTCTGAGTTGTAACCACTCATGCTGAACACAATCAGAAGCCTAGCTCCAGCAAACCCTTGCTTGTAAAACCTCTGGGTAGGGAGACAGACATGGTGCCAGTGGTCTGTTTATTCCTACCCAGGCTAACATGAAACCATGAATGCATGGCCCTGCTGTTGCTTCTGTTTCCATTATTCTATTCTTTCCTGTTCTTAGGTGAAAGAGCATTGGAGATGGAATGATTGAAAGAGTCAGCAGAGCTTGCTGACCATGGCTACTATAACCCTGTGGAACTTGATCTAGCCCAGAAGTGGATCAACTTGGCAGCTGAGATGCTATGTCCTACAAGCATTGGCCGGGCCACCCCTGGAAGTGAACCTGATGGTGGGAAGAATGTTGATAGCTACCATGTTAAGTTTGAGGTCACTCTCTTCACGGACCAAACCATAGAGGGAGAAGTATCCCTGGAACTTTGATTCTTGCTATGTCTTTTCAGTAAATGCCCCTTTGTAAAAACTAAGTAGTGTTAACTGGCAAATAATGTTGGGGAAATAATCATTGGTGAATGGGAATATCAAACCAAAGGCATTGAAAAGCCCCACTGTCCTTGAGGGGTATCCCAACAGTCACACTCTGGGGACTCAACCTGCTAGGGCACATGTGGATCAAGAGAGCAAGTCTACTTATCATCACTATGTACACAATAAAACACAGTAAAAATAACATACGATAAGTACAGAAGAGAGATTCAAGCAAAGTGACGTGTGGAGAACTGGTCCAAAGCATATGCACAAATACATTTATAGAAGTCCTGTTTTGTGGTAGCAAAGATTTGGAAGCAAAGTAGATTATGATGATGATGATGATGATGATGATGAAGATGAAGATAATGGTGATGATGGTGGTGATGATGGTGATGATGATGATGGTGATGATGGTGATGATGGTGATGGGTGATGATGATGGTGACGGTGATGATAATGATGAGGATGATGATGGTGATGGTGATGATGATGATGGTGATGATGGTGATGGTGAGGATGATGATGGTGATGATGGTGATGATGATGGTTATGGTGATGATGGTGATGATAATGATGATGATGATGGTGATGGTGATGATGGTGATGATGGTGATGGTGAGGATGATGAGGATGATGAGGATGATGAGGGTGATGATGGTGATAGTGATGATGATAAAATAACATTTATATAGCACCTACTATGTGCTAGGCACTATGCTAAGCACTTTATAATTACCATCTCATTTGATCCTCATAGTAACCCTTGGACATAGTAGCTATTAGTATTATTATTATTATCATCCCCATTGTACAGATTAGGAAACTAAGACAAACAGGGCTTAAATCATTTACCCAGGGTCACCCAGCTAGTAAGTGTCTGAGGCCACATTTGAACTCAGGTCTTCTGGATTTCAAGCCTAGCACTCTAACCACTGTGCCAACTCACTGTGCTCCTAATTAGATGCCTATTAATTGAGGAATAGCTAACCATGTACCATTGTACATAAATGGTGCTGTAAAAGATAATGACAATGATGAATACAGGAAAACATAGGAAGACTTTTACAAACTGATACAATGGAAAGTAATCAGAACCAAGAAAACAGTATAATTTTATGACTTTTGTCATAACTGACTCTTCGTGATCCCATTTAGCGTTTTCTTGGCAAAGGTACTGGAGTGGTTTGCCATTTCCTTTTCCAGCTCATTTTACAGATGAGGAAACTGAGGCAAACAGGATTAAAGACTTGCCCAGGGTCCTACAGCTAGCAAGTGTCTAAGGTCAGATTTGACCTCAGATCTTCCCAAGTCTAAGCCTGGTGCTCTATCCACTGCACCACCTAGCTGCACTCCCCTCACCCCCCAATATAATTGATATTGTTCAGTTGTGTCCAACTCTTTGTGACCCTGCACACCAATACTGTCCATGAGGTTTTCTTGGCAAAGACACTGCAGTGCTTTGCCATTTTCTTCTCCAGTAGATGAAGGCAAACAGAGGTTAGGTGACTTGCCCAAGGTCATACAGCTAGTGTGCGAGGTGGTATTTGAACTCAGGCCTTCCTGCCTCCCAGCCCAGAACTCTATCCATTGAGCCATCTAGCTCCCATAATAAAGACTACAGCTATGTAGACTGAAAGACCACCACCACCACCAATCACAAAATGTTGTAACTGGATTTTGTGGAATTATAATGATCAAGTTAGGCCTCATAAAAAAAAAAATTTCTGAACAACTATCTCTTCCAGCTTCTTTGCAAAGGGGGTTGGCATGGGGCAATCAATGGGTGTGAAAGACTCTCTATAATGATTCACTTCCTTGATATATTGGTTAGTTCTGCTGCATTATTTTTTCCTTTCTCTTTATTCTTTGTTATAAGGGATAGTTCTCTAGGAGGAGGGTGTGGGGAGTGATGGACTCAGAATTATAGGTGATGTAAAACAAACCTACAAAAAAGTATAATGCTCATTGTTCCACCAAAGCAAAATATTGTGTGTTGCCAGAGAAAGCAAAAGAAGAAAAATTGTTATTGAACAGGACTAACACCACTTCCACTAGACTCTCTCTTTCTTTCCTCGGTTTTGCACCCTTCCCTACAATCTCTAGCCTTGCCCTGCCAATTCCACTTTTGAAATTTTTTAAAATTTAAATTAAATTTAAAATTAAATAAAAAAACATTTAAAATTTTATATTAGAAAGAGTACTGAACAAAACAGGGACTGGGGACTGGACTTGTGAAATGGGTATAAATAAAAAGTGTCAGTTTATCCTGACAAGAAGGTACCAAGAAAGTTCCTTAGGGCCAGCTTGCCTTAACTCAGTCTTCCACAACCGTTGATATGGTCTGAAAGGGAGCAGTTACAAATCTGGAAAATGTCAAGATGCAGGGATGGAGGAAGGGAGAGATGGGATGCTAACGAAACAGGAGGATAAGGTGGTTGAGAGATAGAATGTGGGGAAAAGAGATGAGGAAGATCCCAGCCGAAGCTTCTCCTGGTCTGTCCTTTATCCCTGGTTCTTATGCCCCAGCTACTGGTGCTGTGCCCATGGCATTGGAATTCGCTGATATGACCTCTTCTGCTCCTAAGCCTTCCCACCTCTAGGGCCAGCCTGAGGCTCATCAAGTGGGGCAGAGTGGTCCATGGTGAAGTATATCTTTTGGCATGTGGGTCCTTCTCAAATCTTCCTCAGGTCTCTTTTACCACTAGTGTGTCCTCTACTTTCTGCTTCATCAATCTCGTTATCCAGGACCTGCTTTCTCCCATAGTATCCCATTATCTTTTCTCCCATTCCTCCCATCCTTGCCTCACCCCCTTACCTCCATGTTCCTCAGATCTAGGCACTTTGTGGTTTTCCTAAGTCATAATGACCTAATCCCTTAAAGCGCCTCACAGAGGGGTTAAGATCCTGAGGCCATGTTGATTCTCTAAGCATGAGTAAGGATATAGTCAGGGGTCTTCCCTGTCCAGGCTATATCAATACATCCAGCCTCGGAACCCTTGAAATCCACAGAATAAGTTGCATGAATGGACATTAAATAGGTCATTATTCCTTATGTTAATTGAACTAGATTCTTGTCTTTCCTCAGAAAGTTCTGGAAGTTTCATCTGCATCTTTTTTTTTGGAGGGGGTGAGGCAATCTGGGTTAAGTGACTTGCCCAAGGTCACACAGCTAGTAAATGTCAAGTGTCTGAGGCGGGATTTGAACTCACATCCTCCTGACTCCATTGCCAGAGCTGTATCCACTGTACCACCAGCTGCCCCGGCCTACATCTTTTTGTAACAATCATAACACTGTGTTTGTGGACCCACTATTTCAAACACCATCTCACGATGCACAAATCCAGAGGCATTTCCATCCCAGAGGTTCAAGCGGAGCGTTTGTACCTGACCTGTAGTAGAGCCTTCTGAGCTTGTATTGGACTGATCGGCTACAGTGGAACCCACTGTACCTTGACCCCAACATAGTGATGTCATTGATCCTCTTGGAGTATGAAGGACAGACAACAGCATCTCAAACAAGAGACAGCGTTTAGAATGCACTAGTATCGGTCAGTGGTGCCCCAAGCCCCATGGCTATGCTTTGTAATACAGATTTTGAAATTCATATACATAGTTATCCCTTGTACTGTACGTATATACATTACATATTTCTATATACACTCTGTTCATATTTGTATTTATTCACTGTATTGTGTATATACTTAAGATGTATTTATTTGTCCCACCTCCCCCCCCCATTAAGATGTAAGCTCCTCACCAATAGAGATTATTTCATATATTGTACTTATATCTTCAGTGCCTCAAATTGTGCCAGGCACATATTAGGCATTTAACAAATGCTTGTCAATTCATTGGTTGATTGGAAAAGTCCATGTCTTAAGGGGAGATGGTGATTTTACTATCCAGACATTAATTCATCTGTTCAGCTAATAAATTTAGACAGCTCTGCCTAGGATCACAACTCTGAGAAACACAGAGAAAAGAATATCATTCAAAGTGAGGCAAAGATTTTTCTAATTAGAGTTAAAGACCATACTGCTGATGATGTGTGAATTGTTTTCTTTTTTTTTATCTTTTTATTATTAAATGACTTGCTCAGGATCACATAGCTAGTGAGTGTTATGTGTCTGAGGCTGGATTTGAACTCAGCGCTGGTGCTCTATCCACTTTGCCACCTAGCCAGCTCCTGTGAATTGTTTTCAGTGAAAGAATTTTTCCTGTGTGTTTTGCATCACTGCACATGTATAACCTGTATCAAATTGATTGTCTTCTCAATGTGAGGGAGAGGAGGGAGAGAATTTGAAACTCCAAAATTTAAAAAACGTCCAGCAATAGCACTTCTAGGGCTATATCCCAAAGAGATCAAACAAATGGGAAAAGGACCCACATGTACAAAAATATTCATAGCAGCTCTTTTTGTGGTGGCAAAGAATTGGAAATTGAGAGGATGCCCATCAACTGGGAAATGGCTGAGCAAGTTGTGGTATATGAATGTAATGGAATACTATTGTGCTATAAGAAATGATGAACAGGCTGACTTCAGAAAAACCTGGAAAGACTTATATGGTCTGATGCTGAGTGAAGTGAGCAGAACCAAAGAGGACTTTGTACACAACAACAGCCACGTTATGCAATGACTAAGATTGTTAAACTGAACCTTTCTCAGCATTATGAGGATCTAAGACATCTCCAGAGGCCTCATGATGTAAAATGCTGTCCACATCCAAAGAAAGAACTATGGAAGTCAAATCGCTATCCCTTATTTTTACTTTCTGTTGAGTTTTGTTTCACCTTTCTGATGGTTTCTCCTATTGGTTTTAATTTTTACTTACAACTTCACTAATGTGAAAAATATGTCTCACGGGTATGTAAATGTAAAGCCTATATCAGATTGTGCACCGTCTTGGGGAGGGTGGGAGGGAGGAAGGGGGAGAAAAATTTTAAACTCAAAAGCATGTAGAAGTGATTGCTGATAAATCAAAAAAATTAATA